GGACCTTTTCTGCTGGGACAAGACACTGTACTGCCCTCTGCTGGGAAGGGGTTTTAATAAACATCCTGGCCCTTGCGATGTGAACCCTTGTGGAGTATTTGCCCTCCTTGTGGCTGTGGCAACGGACATCTCTGAGCTTCAGTTTCCTCCTCCAGAAAATAATAGCTCCATTGGTGGTATCTCCTTTATTTGGCGTGTTGAAGATTAAATTCGATGCTCTATGTGCATAACACGCATGGAGGGCTACTGTTTATTTTTTTTAGACAAAGTCTTGCTCTGTTGCCCAGACTGGAGTGCAGTGGCACGGTCTCAGCTCACTGCAACCTCTGCCCTCGGTTCAAGTGATTCTCCTGCCTCAGCCTCCCGAGTAGCTGGGATTACAGGTGCCCGTCACCACGCCTGGCTAATTTTTGTATTTTTAGTAGAGACAGGGTTTCAACCGTGTTGGCCAGGCTGGTCTCAAACTCCTGAGCTCAGGTGATCTGCCCACCTTGGCCTCCCAAAGTGCTGGGATTACAGGCGTGAGCCGCCACGCCCAGCAGAGGGCTACTCTATTTTAAGCTTAGGAGTCAGGTAGGTGGCACAGGGGGCCCAGGTCTCCTTCCTGCAGGTCATGGGTTCTGGGCACATAAACTCTGCCCTCAAGCATGGACATCTGGAAAATGGCAGTAATTGTAATGTTGATGTGGAAGGGGTGTGGAAAGGATTCAATGGGGTGTGCTGCTCCACACCTGAGAGCTGTTCTTGTGTGTGTGTGTGTGTGTGTGTGTGTGTGTGTGTGTAGAGAGAGAGAGACAGAGTCTCACTCTTGTCCAGGCTGGAGTACAGTGGTATAATCAAAGCTTACTTCAGCCTTGACCTCCTGGGCTCAATGATCCTCCCGTCTCAGCCTCCTGAGTAGCCGGGACCACAGGTGTGTGCCACCAAAGCTGGCTAATTTTTCCGTTTTTTTAGAGTGGGAATCTGGCTTTGTTGCCTGGCGAACATGGCGAAACCCTGTCTCTACTAAAAATATAAAAATTACCTGGGCATGGTGGCATGTGCCTGTAATCCCAGCTACTCAGGAGGCTGAGGCAGGAGACTCACTTGAACCTGGGAGGTGGAGGTTGCCGTGAGCCAAGATCAGCACCACTGCACTGCAGCCTGGGTGACAGAGTGAGACTCTGTCTCAACAAAAGAAAAAAAGATGTGGGAACTGTGTTCATACCATTGGGCTCTGGAGCCCAGCACTGCTCCAAGCCCTGCCTCCCCTGCTTACTGACTGGGTGACTTTGGGCAGGTCGTTTACACTTTGAGCCTGCACCAAATGGCGCTGATAAGGGTGCATGCCTGAGAGGTGTTAGGCGCATCATAGTTGTCTCATCATAGCTGTCTCCGAGTTCCTCATGGCGCTCAACACAGCCTCCTGAGGGTCTCCTGATTGTAAACATGAGGCCTCAAGGTCTTTTAGGATCAGAACTGGTGGCAGACAAGTGCACTGATTACAGATAAAAATTACCCATCCCCTCATATTTAGCACCAGTTTTATTGAGCTAGTTTGTTGGCCATGCCTAGCTGAGAGATAGAGAAGTGGAGGGAGATGGGGGGACAGGAGAGCTTTTCCTCATGGCACACCTTGCTCCAGGAGTCTGTATACAGGAGTGTGGACAAAAGGAAGTGCTACCTTGCAGGAAGTTGCCCTCAAAGCAAGGGCAGGAGGTGGGGGTGGGGAACTTGGCCTCTGATGGAATTCTGGAATTCTGCTGAGAGGCACCAGCCTGACCCGAACAGGAGATGCTGACGGGCAGTGCTGGGCATGTTGCATAGAGATGGCTGGTTACACAGCCCCATGGCGGGATCCCAGAGTGCCGAGACCAGCTGGGTCGTGGAGACCCTAACCCAGTGGCGCTAGAGGAATTAAAGACACACACACAGAAATATAGGGTATGGAGTGGGAAATCAGGGGGTCTCACAGCTTTCAGAGCTGAGAGCCTTGAACAGAGATTTACCTACATGTTTATTAACAGCAAGCCAGTGATAAGCATTGTTTCTATACATTATAGATTAACTAAAAGCATTTCTTACAGGAAATAAAGGGATGGGCTCTGGCTAGTTATCTGCAGCAGGAGCATGTCCTTAAGGCACAGATCGCTCATGCTATTGTTTGTGGTTCAGGAACCCCTTTAAGCGGTTTTCCGCCCTGGGTGGGCCAGGTGTTCCTTGCCCTCATTCTGGTAAACCCACAACTTTCAGCGTTGGGGTCATGGCCATCATGAACCTGTCACAGTGCTGCAGAGATTCTGTTTATGACCAGATCTGGGAGACTGTTCCCAACACCAGAGATTCCCCAAGCAGCAGATGATCCTGTTGGTCTCAAGGACAGACTGCCTCAGCGGACCTCTGCTCCCTGCCAGTGACCATTACCCCCAAAACATGCCGGCAAGTCTCCGCTCCCTGCGTCGGCGGCCTTCCCCCTCGTACAAAGCCTGGGTTAGCCTTTGTTTTGTGACTGAGTCTACTGAGATCCTTGCAGGAGAAGACAGTTTGCAGGCAAATGAACTAAATGTCTCTTTCCTGACACCCCGCTTCTGGGGGGCTGAGGAAGCTGTGAACAGCCTCGTTTGTCACACAGCATGTTGGCCACCACACTGAAGCAGCAGCAAGCGGGTTCATGGAAGGTGTACTGAGAACCAGCCACATGGGACCCCCTACTGTGCCTGGGTATCCTCTGGCTTCTGGCTGCAAGGCTGGTCTTTTTTTTTTTTTTTTTTCTTTGATATAGGGTCTTGCTTTCTCGCCCAGGCTGGAGTGCAGTGGTGAAATCACGGCTCACTGCAGCCTCAACCTCCTGGACTCAGGCAATCCTCCCACCCAAGCCTCCCGAGTAGCTGGGACTACAGGCGGCACCACCATGCCTGGCGAATTTTATAAAAATTATTTGTGGAGACGGGGTCTCACTATGTTGCCCAGGCTGGTCTTGAACTCCTGAGCTCCAGTGATCCTCCCACCTTGGCCTCTTGAAGTGCTGGGATTCCACAGGTGTGAGCCACCGCACCTGGCTGCAAGGCTGGTCTTGACTGACGATGTCAGGCGGTAGTCCAGTCGCTAGGACAGACGGATCCTGACCCTCACGCTGGAGTGGGTCACAAGGGCACCGTAGTGCCCCACCCAGGAACTCACGTCTCTCCCGTACTGCTCAAAAGATACGTAGCGGATGCCCTTGCCAAAGTTGGTGAAGATGTGGGAGACCTGCAGGGGGAAGGGGAGTGAGAGGGTGAGGGCCTGCGGGCCCCTTCTCTTCCTCCACCTTAACAGATAGGCCCCAAGGACTGAGGAGGTGCCAGTCCTGCACTAGGTGCTGGGGATGGAGCAGCGAAGAAAGCAAGAAAAGGACCCCGCGCTGGTGGAACTGCCATTCTAGCAGGGGGCCTGGACACTGGAGCTAGGTGGGGGCGAGGGGCCGGGGCATCCTGCCAGGAAGGTGGCAGGAATGCGAGTAGAGTGAGTTAGCAAAGGCCCCACAGAGGTGACACCTGAAGGAGGGGAGGGAGCCAGGAGGGGCTCTGGAGGGAGGGTGTCCCAGGCAGCGGGAACGGCCTGTGCAAAGGTCCCGAGGTGGGAACATGCCTGGAGCTGAGTGAGGGGAGAAGAGAGGGGTCAGGGAGGTCATGGGCAGATCATGGTCTTGTGGGCCACAGGAGGACTTCGGCTTTTTTTTTTTTTTTTTTCAATTTAAAAGAGTCGAGATAAAATTTTCATAAAACAAACTTTTCATTTATTTATTTATTTTTGAGATGGAGTCTCCCTCTGTCACCCAGGCTGGAGTGCAGTGGCACGATCTTGGCTCAATGCAACCTCCGCCTCGCAGGTTCAAGCGATTCTCCTGCCTCAGCCTCCCGAGTAGCTGGGATTACAGGCACGCACCACCACGCCCAGCTAATTTTTGTATTTTTAGTAGAGATGGGGGTTTCTCCATGTTGGTCAGGCTGGTCTTGAACTCCTGACCTCAGGTGATCCACCCGCCTTGGTCTCCCAAAGTGCTGGGATTACAGGTGTGAGTCACTGTGTCCGGCCAAAATTTACCATTTTATTTTAATTATTTATTTTGAGGCCAAGACTTGCTCCATCGCCCAGGCTGGAGTGCAGTGGCATGATCTCAGCTCACTGTAACCTCCACCTCCCCCAGTTCAAGAGATTCTCCTGCCTCAGTCTCCCTAGAAGCTGGGATTACAGGTGCTCACCACCACGCCTGGCTAATTTGTGTATTTCTAGTACAGACAGGGTTTCACTACGCGGGCCAGGCTGGTCTTGAACTCCTGGCTTCAAGTGATCCACCCGCCTTGGCCTCCCAAAGTGCTGGGATTACAGGCATGAGCCACCACACCTGGCCCAAAATTCACTTTTTAAAGTGTACAATTCAGTGGTTTTTAGTTGATTTGCGATGTTACGTGGCCATCACCACTACCTAATTCTAGAGCATTCCCGTCACCCCAGGAAAAAACTCTGCATCCGTGAACTGTCACTTCCAAGTCCTCCCTCCCCCAACCCCTGGCAGTCACCAGTCTTCTTAGTGTACATTTCATATATGTGGAATCACACAGTATTTGTCATTTCATGTCTGGCCTCTTTCAGCATCGTGTTTTCAAAGTTTATCCACGTTGCAGCGTGAATTGGTGCTTCATTTCTTTTCCGTGGCTGCATAACTTTGGCTTTTACTGTGAGATGTAGCCACAGGAGCATTACAAGCAGGGAGACTTGTGATCTGACTCATTATTATTATTATTATTATTATTATTTTTAGTTAGGGTCTCTGTCTGTTGTCCTGGCTGGAGTGCAGTGGCAAGATCATAGCTCACTGTAGCCTTGACCAACTGGGCTCCAACCATCCTCCCAACTCAGCTTCCTGAGTAGCTGAGACTACAAGCTCAAGTTACCATGCCGGTCTAAGTTTTAATTTCTTTGTAGAGATGGGGGTCTCGCTATATGGCCCAGGCTGGCCTCAAACTCCTGCCCTCAAGCTATCCTCCCATGTTGGCCTCCCAAAGTGGTGGGATTACAGGTATGAGCCACCGTGCCCAGCCGAAACATTTACTTTGGTAACTGAGGTGTGAGGATCAAGACAGCATAGTCTTGGGGCCAAACTGGGCTTGAGTCCGGCTCTGCACTGGGCCAGTCACATAACTTCCCTGTGCCTCTGTTTCCTAAACTCTAGAATGGAGATAGGATTTTGGTTCACCGCTACATTTCCAGCACCTAGAGTGGTGCCCAGCACACAGTAGGTGCTCAATCAGTGTTTGTTGAACATTAAGCTATTGTGCTAGTGAAATGAATCAGTATGTAAGCCTCTTGACACAGGGCTTGGGATGTAAGAAGGGTTCAATACTTCTTAGCTGTTATTATAGATATCCGGCAGTGACAGAAGAGAAACCACGCAGATGAGAGGCTGTGTGTCTGTGCCTCTATGGGGTCGGGGGGAGCTGGAAGGTAGTCTGGACCCACCTGTCGGCAGCCCCTCTCAGTCCACTGAAGGACTGGGTCAGGTGAGGCTGAGAACTTGACCACTTCCTTTTCATACACGTCCAGAAGGCGGACCCGGAGCTGGTAGACGCAGCCGCAGTTCTCTCGAGCACCCCACCTGCCAGGCAGCAGTCAGCCTCTATGTCCCCGTCACCCAGCCAGCATTCTGGGTTTCAGGGTGGGAGGCTGAGGGCTGGGCCTTCCCGCATCTTGATGAGGGTTCTGCACATCTGGACCACATTTGGAGACGTCCTGGCCTGGGAACCTCTAGGGGAGGAGCCTTGGTGGTTCTGGGGTAGAGCCAGAACCTGGGGGAAGAGCCGGGGTGATCCTGGGGTGGAGCCAGAGCCTGGGGGAGGGGTCTGGGTGGTCCTGGGGTGAAGCCAGAACCTAGAGGAGGAGCCTGAGTGGTCCTAGATGGAGCCAGAGCAGGGGAGGAGCCTGGGTAGTCCTGGGGTTGATTCTGGAGGCTTTTGGGTGGGTAGTTGGGGGATAGGAAAGGATGCTCTGGGAAAGAACCACAATGCAGGGCAGGTGCCTGATGACTTCAGGGAGGAGCCAGAGCCCCGGGGAAGAGACCAGATTTTCTATGGAGGAGCCACAGCCTGAAGGAGGAGCTGGAATGCTTTGGGCAGAACCTGGGTGTTTTGGGAAGAAGGCATTCATCCTAAGCCTGCAGGCTCTGAAGCCAGTCCTGTCCCAACTATGCTCCGTGAGCCTCAGCTCACAGGGCACCGTGCTCCCACCCCTTCAGAGGCATCCACAAAGGGGTCGGGGGAGGTGTCTCGTTTCAGAGGGGTATCAAGCCAGTCAGTGGCCCCCTGTGGGCCACCCCAGCCTGCTGAGATGAGGGTGGGCAGGAGTACAGAGCGGGGGCTCTGGCTTCTCCAAAGCTCTATCCTCCCTGGCTCCGCATCATTTCGCCTCTCAGTGTCATCACAAAGGGTGCACAGTGACAGCCGCTACCCATGGGGTGGATGGGGCGGGAAATGAGCCTCTGCTGCAGAACCGCTGCCAAGCCTGCTGCTGCTCCAGGGCAGGGTGCCGCTCCTCACTCACCAGTCAGCCACACAGATCTCAATCTGGGCGCTGTCCAGTAGCTCCTGCCACACACCTTCCATCACCAGGTCCACAAGCTGCCTCTTGGAGCACCATCTGGGAAGGAGAGATGGCAGTGGGCAGGGCAAACAGTCCTGGCATTCAAGGCGCAATCAGAAACCACCTCCTCCAAGAAGCCTCCCTTGATAACCCTCTCTAAAGCAGCCCTCAGGGTTTGCTCTAGCAGACCTGAAGATCTATGATGGGCTATACATCTCTCCTTGGCCTCCTGGATTCCCTTCGCCATTCTCCACCCTGCTGCGGGCTCCAGGCAGCTGAACTCTATGAAAGCCTGACCCTCATCTATGTGGGACAAGACATGAGTACAAATGAAGGCCACATACTAGACATGTGAGCGGGGAGCTCTGTGGTGGGCCTCCTAAAGTGCGAGGGCCCCGGGTCTAAAGCTGGATGGCCTGGTCTCTGTCACCTATTGCTTCCTGTTGGATCAGCCAATGGGATGCTCCAGCAGGGGATGGAAGTGAAGGAGGTGACTAAAATCAGGGTATATATCCTCTTGGGTCCTTCTCAAGGGACTGCCTTGTCCCCCAAGGAAAAAGCACAGCTCCACAGCACGCTCTTCTCATTTTTCAGTAACTGTTTCCTCCCCTCACCTCTAGTAATCTAGGGGTGGTAATGTTCCTTCTCTAACTGTTACTAGCTCAGGGACTGCTGCCAACAACTTTGTAAACAGTCCTTCACCTCAAATTAGAATGTGCCATAATCACATACATTGTGCAGTATTGGTGGAAGGACAGGTAAGTTGACCAATAGAATAGAACAGAGTGCCAGGAACTGGCCGAGCGTGGTCGCTTAGGCCTGTAATCCCAGCACTTTTGAGAGTCCAAGGCAGGTGGATCACCGGAGGTCAGGAGTTCGAGACCAGCCTGGCCAATATGGTGAAACCTCTTCTCTACAAAAAATACAAAAATTAGGCTGGGTGCGGTGGCTCACGCCTGTAATCCCAGCACTTTGGGAGGCTGAGGCAGGTGGATCATGAGGTCAGGAGATTGAGACCATTCTGGCTAACACGGTGAAACCCCATCTCTACTAAAAATGCAAAAAATTAGCCGGGCGTGGTGGCAGGCGCCGGTAGTCCCAGCTACTTGGGGAGGCTGAGGCAGGAGAATGGCGAGGCGAGCTTGCAATGAGCCGAGATTTGCGCCACTGCCACTCCAGCGCTGGGGCGACTGAACGAGACTCCGGTCTCAGGAAAAGAAAAGAAAATTAGCAAGCATGGGGCACGCCCTGTAGTCCAGCTCTCAGGAGGGCTGAGGAAGGAGAATCACTGAAACCCAGGGAAGCAGAGGCTACAGTTGGACTCGAGATTGTGGCTAGTGCACTTCTAGCTGGGCAACAAAATGAGTTACTGTCTCACAAAGTGAAAACAAGAGAGTCAGAGTGCAGGGATAGACCGTAGGTATTGCACGAAACCTTACCATAAACATGAGGTGGCTAATCACCATGGGAAAGATTAGTTCTCGCTCTCTTTTTTTTTCTTTTGGCAGAGGTCTTATTCTGTCGCTAGGCGGAGTGCAGTGCTGTGGATCTAGTCCACTGCACCTCGAACGTCCTTGGGCTCCAAGAGATCCTGCACTTGGCCTCCCAAAGTGTCTGGGATTACAGGCCAATGAGCCCAGCCCGGCCTTCCCAGTTGTCCTACTATAAATGGGGCAGTATAGCTATCTATGTCACAGGGTTGTTGCCAGAAATTA